TATATATATATATATGAATCATCGTAAAGAATATTGTACTAGGAAGTAACGTCGCCAAAATAGTTTGATATCTTAAAAGTAGGCTAAACACCTTAATTTATCGTAGTATGTTAAATATAATTGTACCTTACGTAATTATGCTTAATTATAAACGTTAGCATCAAGTGGCAGCAGTTTAGAATTACATCAAGGTATGTTAATAGTCTATAATTAGCATTTTAGAGTTCACCTTCGTGTGATAAGATAAAAAAATTGCTGTAAAATTATATACATGTAACTATTATTATTATCATGTCCTTCAATTTTATTCATATTATTACCTATTCGTCTATTGTTTCCATATATGGATTTGAAAAAAATTAGATTTTGTGATATAATTTTGAGAGCGATCGAAAGATTAGTTTCTTGTGGTGATGAAAGCGATAATAACATTAGTTTACATAAAAAGGTCTTTTTTGATTACTTTGAACCAGACAAGATGTTTCTTATAAATCTTTAGATATTGAAAACAGTGTCACAAGTTTCTAATACGTCAGGTTTCTGAAATAAATGAGCTTTAATATGCAAAAAAGGCTTTTTTTGCGATATTTTTTGTAAAAAAAAGTGAACGTTAGGTTGAAATTCTGATCAAAAATCATAAATGTATTGTTCGACTTTGAAGAAAAACCTTGTATTTAAATCCTTCATAACATGACTAAAAAGATATTTGAAATAAAAAGAAATGCTCTTTATAGGGGACAATACATTAACACGACTTTTAATTAGAATTTCAAGATAACGTTAATCTTCTTTACAAAAAAATGTCAAATATATCAAAGAAATTATTTTTTAGACATTATCTTGGAAATTTCAATTGTCTTGGAAATCTGACGTGCTGGAATTTTTTGGCTTGCGGTATCGTTTCCAGCATTCAAAAATCTATTAAAATCTATAAAAAAACACCTGGTCCGATTCGAAATAATTTTTTATTGCAAACTAGTGTAATCAGATCCATCAATTTGATGATTCGCGAGAATCGTTCGCGTTCCGCGTTCGAAGACAACGCGCTTTTATTTGTCCGCCGCGCATTCGCGAGATGAGGTTGACGTCAGCAGCTAGTGTTAATTAAATTCCGCACGACCGGTTATTAACATCGCCGAGCGGATTAAAAGCGAGGCTGGGCTTTCAGCGGATTTCCGGGTTTCGCGCGTCGCACCGGAATTAACTCCTCGTGCTCGGATACGGTAACGAGCCGCGTATCGCTCCGCTCCGCGTCTTTCGAGCGCCGGCAACGAGTAGAACTGAGGAAGAATGAAAATGGACCGGACTCCGTCGAGTGGCTATGACCTTTCGCTTATGAGAGAGCTCGACGGTCGCCAAACCCGGACACGGCGAGACGCGAGGAATAAATCATACAGGATTACGATGAAAAATATTGGGAATTTTTCCGAAAGAATTACTGTCAAATTAGGAAAGATAAAATAAAATAATTTGTACAAGTAAAGACTTCGATATACAAAGCTGAATATCATTGGTATTATAACTGAATATAAATCTTTCTTTTACGAAGTAATTTTATCGATTATAGGTTCTTGCTATTAATAACACTGGATTTAAAATCATTGATTTCAGTTTAGCATCCGCGAATACGAATAAAAAATAAGAGTAGCTAAGAGCACGTAAAACATAATTAGTTTAAAACTATATGACTATAAAAACGCGTTTTTTCGTCCAGTGCATTTTTAGGCGTAATATTTTGTGCTTAAAGTGTAATATTTGGCGAGTGTCAAAAATGGTTGCGTTCAGCAGAAAAAAATGCCGCTTTGCAATTATTGTAAGATTCATTAATATGATTGCGTTTGCATTTAAAGCTGCACTGTTAGATATCAAAAGAACAATGGTAACCCAGTCCCTTGAGTTAAATAACATTTTTATTTTTAACTTTCACGTGTGTCAAAATATAAATCAATACATTCTGTGGTTAGATTCGAAATAAATGACATTCATATTGACGCATGCATTTAATTAATAATTAAATTAATAATTAAATTATTTGACATATATTTTTAACTTAATTTGTTTAAGTCCATTGTTTTAGTTAAATTAACGTTACATTGTAGGAACAGTGGCGATCTATAGAAATGATAAAAAATGACTCAAATTGATCAAATACAATTTTGTTTTTACAGTTGAACTAATATACTTTTGAAACTTAAAATGGAGTAGATGTATATTTAATATTTGTTAAAAGCAAGAAAAAATTTTGCTGCAGGAATAAAAACCTTATATGAATTTAAAAGAGCAGTAGAATTAGAAGCATAGAATTAGAAGCAGGAAATAATTATATTAAAGAATCGTACAACAGTTGTGAAAAGTTGATTTTTTTTTGCTGAATGCAACCAATGTCATTTATAGGCGCAGCAATCGAGACAGACCGAAGATTAAAAATAAAAGTAATTAATTAAAATGTGTGAAATTAGAGTTAAACTTTATTCAATTTTTAAAACAGTTCAACTCGAGCTCTATCAAGTTTCATCCATCACATGATTTTCATTCAATCTTGTTCAAATGAATTCCGCGAAACGGATTCGTAAAACATCAATTCCGAATTCCGGAAGGCGAGAAACGCCGTTCCACGTAGCGGTGACAGCGGGGATTTGTTTACAATCAAGGAGGAATCGGAACTATACAGGAAGAAGCGTCGAGTGCGATGTACGCACGCGCACGTCCAACTATACATAACAAATAAACACACGCACACACGCGCAGGCACCGGGAAATTTATTCGTCGAATATGAGTAAAATATCCGTGGGCGAACAATTACCTTGATCGCTGCTTCTTCGTCGTCAGTTCCCCCAGCTGTTGATAAAAATCCTTTGCCGGGAACGGGAGCTGCTGGAGCTAATTATCACTTGTCATCGAAGTCCAACCAGACACAAACCATTTCACTGTTCATCGGGTAAATTTCGTCGCGCTCCTCGTGGTGTACGACATGCATGCACGCACGCACGGCACGCACGCACGCACGCACGCACGCACGGGGACGGCACGCGGCGCGCGTAATCAGGTCGCGGCGGGCGGCAACCGTGCGCGCGACACGAAAAGAGAAAGAGAAAGAGAGAAAGAGATTATCCCGCGAGGAAACTTTTCGCCGCGGCACACGTGAACACGTGATAAGGATTACAATCTCGTTTATCAGCCGCGAGTGGCCGCTCGTTACGTTATCACAAATGAGAACGCCAAAGAATCCTCCGGTCATTAACGCACTCCCAGCTTAACGCACTTGTGTCACTTATGATTGTTTCTGGCTCCTCGCGGACGTCTTCGTACTCCGATTACTTCCTCCGGTCTCCACGACAGGGCACAACGAGGGAAGAAAGACGACGCAGAACGTAACGCGAGGGCGCGCGCGTATACACGTATAGTGGACAACGGCTTTCGCGAGGGCGAGTGCGAGTGTGATTACTCTCGTCGTTGAACGGCAACGCGCGCGAAGATTGCGAATGCGATTGCGGAATAAGCTTCGTCTCTCACGTACTGCCACCTTACGAGGTCGGCGAGCGACTGATCCGACAGTTGCTGTAGGAAGTGTCGAGTGAAGGTTGCCGCCAGACGCGCGACACCCCACCTCGCCTCTCCCGGCGCCCACCCGCTGCGCCGCGATGGTGCGCGAGCGAGACGTCAGAACAAGTGGAACCGCGCGGCGACCATTGGCGGTTCACGCCGTCCAATCGCGCGCTGCCGTTGGCGTCGCGTCAGCGCCAGCGGAAATAATCGAACCATAGTCATGGCGGGTTGAGTGGGGAGGATCGCCAAGTCGCGACGTATCGGAGGAGAAAGAGAGAAACAAGAAGAGAGAGAGAGAGAGAGAGAGAGAGAGAGAGAGAGAGAGAGAGGGAGAGAAGATTCCGACCGACTTCCTCGTAGCTTCCTCGTAATCGCGATCGTGATTGTTGTCGAGTTAACCCCGGCCGATCGTTTTCACTTGCGCGAAACATGGAACAACGTGATGTAAGTAACAGGCGGCCACGAATTGCAATGACTTTTCATTTCCGTCCTCCTCACTCGGTTCCGAGGAATTCACTTGCGTGAACTTTGCAGCTCTCCCGCGCTGCGAACGATCCGCGGACACGTTCACATTTCACGCTGAGATTCAAACGATATGCCGTTATGTTAGTCGTTAGCGCCACTTGACTCCACGAAAAGTTCAAAATGATCGCCGTTGATCACATCGATGTTCGATTTCGCACCGAATTTTTCCGAATTCGCAAACGGCCGTATATACTTCATGGATAAATCGATTTTCTCCGTTGGATACACGGTAAGATAAATATTTGATATACAATAGCATACATTTTTCATAGCTGTTCTATTAGCCAATATTTCAACTCTCTAACCGCATTCGAGAGTTCCGACCAAAATGGCGAAATACACTTGGAAAATTGTGCCTCTTATAATGACTGCGTTTCGTAAAACGTAATGCGCATGATGTATTATTTTGTCCTCGTTTAACATTTGAAAACACAACAAGAATAAAATAATACATCACATGCATCATGCTCTTTAGCAGGAACTAACCAATTGGTTAGTTCGTGTTGCTTGAAATCTTCAAATGATAGATACATATTTGAACGTTAAAAAGAGAAAAAGCGAAGATGCTGAAAAGTATAAGCAACGCGAACAGACCAAATGTCTTACAATGTTTTCGTATGACGGGCAATTTTTTAAGTAATTTTAAAAGTACAATGAAAGAAAAATCTGCAGATTGCATTAATTGGAATTCTGATTGAAAATGGATAAGTAAGAATTTTCTGGTTGAATCTATTAAGAATGCATTTCGATATTCATTGCCAGTATTAAAAATCTGTAATAATATAAATTTTCAGGAGAACGCGATTTATAAGGATTCCAGCTATCATGATCCGAATGGAATCGAGAAGGTAAACTGGAGTTATCAGCAATGGATGCCAAGAGGTTTGTTCTCTATTATCTTTATGCTTAAAATTTCCGAGGTCTGAGACGAAATGTTTCTTATATCATCTATTATCTAGAAATGATATATAACGACAATTTTTTTGTTAATAGTCCATTATCAGGCACATTTTTTGCTTAGTGTTAGATAAATCGTATATTTATGTATCTATGTCCGAATATTTATACAAAAATTATTGTTAATCTCAAAAATATTTTTTGTACTATAATATTATATAATTGTATTTAAAGATGACAATTAAAAATTATATTATATTTAAAAAAGCATGTGAGATTAATAATATGTACAAATAAAATTTTAAAAATAAATGTCCGGATATAGGTACGTCTAGTAAAGTATATAAACTTGGATGTTACTTTAGTGTGTACTTAGAAAATTTCCGGGATCTTGTAATGTCAAGACTTTTGTTGTATTTTTTTAGGTACTTTAGGTATAAATCTTTTTAGATATAATTTTTAGATATAAATTTCTTAAGATAAATAATAGACATTACAAAAAGTCACTTATGCGCTGATGAAACGAATTTTTGATGATAAAAATCTTTTTCAGTTTAAAATATTTTCGACATTGAGATAAAGTGTAAGCATATTCGATCTTTTGCAAATGCATTGCTTATCCTGATTATCTTGCTTTTTATTATGTATCGTTATCACCTATATTTAATTAATTATATTTTACCGTATCTAGTTAGCCGTAAATAAGTTTGTGTTTCTAATCAATATATCGATTCTCATAATATCATAAAGGAAAATCGATGTGGATATCATTCTTCGCTCGCGCGCGGTTGTGTTAATGTTATACAATAAAAAATTAAATTTGCTAATTAATTGCGAGATAAGATGCGAATGGGAGGTAATCGAGTCTAATCGAATGATAACGCATTGCTACGTCAATTGTGTCCTATTCTACGGAATGATATAAATCTTGTTATTAAATGGATAATATCGCGAAGAGTGAGAAAATAAAATTAATTTTTTAATAGAAAAAACAAATTGGCGACCCGATTTTTTAATTAAATTATTAATTATCTATATGCAGTTCTACTTTTTACATAAATGGAGAATAATCTCGAAATGCAGATCATCGGAGTTTTAACCGATAATGAAAAACGATCATCGTATCGATAAGAAAATCACAAATGCAAATATCGGTCGTCGCGAATATTTAACTCCGCGCGATAAAAAACAGATCAGGTGTTCATTTCATAAAATAAAAGAACTGTTAAATATCTCATGAATTATTCGTTATCGTGGAAAATATATATATATATATTCATTATTTATCATCTTAAATTGTAGATAATTTAAGCTTCTTTTTTATAATATAACAATCATACTTTTTTTGCGCTCACATTCTTCTTTGCTTTTTCTGTTATTTATCGCGGTATGCAAAAACCCGATCGGCAACCGGTTATTTCACGAATTCGTTCGTCCATTTGCGATTCAGCAAAACGCATCGCACTTCGAACCCATGAAAAAAAAAAGAATAGCATTGAATCGCGGGGGGGAAATGCTTGTTAAGACAACACTCGTGGAGAGGCGAAGATATGGAAGGGAGAAATAAGCAAAAGATAACATACATGAGATATAAAAATTTTAAACCGGTCGAAATGTTCGCTATGTACAACGAAATATGAAGTAAAGCTGCGGTCAGAACGACTAGTGGATAATAATAAAAGTAATTGAGAGGGAAAATATTCATAAACTGTGAATTATATATATATTTTAAAAAGTTATTTGCTAAGGATAAATTTCAATCGCTCTGTTGTTGATCTGACCGAACTCATTAATCCGCCATAATCTTTCGAACAAACAAGTCTTTCTCCCTCCTGCTTCTCTCCTCCCTTCAACATAGTGCATCCCACTCTGCTGCTGTTTTCTCGCTTATCTTAATTGTGGTAATGCGAAAAGCACCACAATACTCTGCCACGCGCGACGCACGTGGTTTGATTTGAAGTACTTATTTCCTCTTTATTGTATTTTATTATCATGACAGATAAAAATCATCGCATGATTCATATCAGAGAACGAGATTTCTCGATGAGTTTGGAGTGGCTTCTTTCTTGATTAATATCTCAGGACATCAATGTACATTTCAGAGCATTGAATTATGATCGCAAATGAAACGTATGTATTCTATAAATTTACTTTCGAAAGAAACGTACTATATTTATCGAAATGGACTTTATTTTCGTACGAAAACGAGATGATATCTCGTTGCGACATGCAACATATTAGCTGTCGTTTTAATCTGCAGTAAACCGTGACCTTTCCAAGATAACAAGCCTAATTTTCAAGCGTATGTCATTGGTCATATCTCTCCCTTGTTCCTCGATTTTCTTCTATCTTTTTTATTTTTTCTCAAAAAGTATTTAACGAGAGGAGGCGCGAACTTATAATTAGACAAGCTGGAAATTTTTAAAGCCATTAATTCGTACATAAACGCCTTAAAATTATTGAGGAAAAGCTATTTCTAAATTAAAATATCGTTCTTTTCAATATATCTGAAATATTAGACATAATAATATATGCATTGACAAATTTCAATATTTCCGACGCGCAAAGATAATTTCTTATAAGCGTCCTGTACAATATGCGGAGTAAGTGGTGTAAGAAGTAAAAATAAGAAATTGACAAATCACAATAGATTATTTTTTTTACATTTGACTGATTATTGGTCGATTTTTTAGGACCACTTCGATTCGGTCCGTTTAACTTTAATCGATAGTTAGTCCATTGAAATTGCATCTATCATTAAGCGAAATAACAAATATGATTGATCTAATGGATTAATCATCGATCAAAAAATAGTCAAAGTGGCCCTTAGGCCGTAATCATACTGGAAAAAATTTAAACAAAACAATAGTATAGCCGGCATGTAAATAATTAATTTAATGTGTCACCTGTAATATGTGAAGTAAGCTTGATAAGAAGAATACAGCCGTAATCATAGGTTACCAGTTATGATTGTCGGTTCTATTTTAGCCAAATCATGATGGAGCGAGTGCAGGTTAGCTGCAACATGATTGGAATAAAACCGACAACCAGCAATCGTAATCGGCAACCTATAGTGTGATTACGGCTTTACTCTTCTTACATCAAGCTCACATATTGCAGATAATACATTAAATTAATTGCTTACATGTCGGCTATACCGATTATTGTTTTGCTTAAAATATTTTCTCAAATTCAGTAGGCTGTGCCAATAGCTGCTGTGAACTTATGCTTCACAATTTTTTAATTTACTGTTTTCAATAGTTTATTATCATTCATACCTGTTTCAAAACTAGACAAAAATGGAAATTCATTCTTAACATTCATTTTTATTTTTAATTGGTTATTCCATTTACGGATCATGATCATTAGGTCACAAATTTTATTTATTTTAGTGATACAGAAAAGTTAAATAAACCATTGTATTTTTGAAATTACCGTATTTTTTTTGCAAAAAGAAAATATCTATGTAAATGTTTCAAAAATATATGATGCTTCAAATTTTTATACTTCTATATATAAGCTTAAACTTTTATGTATGTGAAGCAATATTTTCAAATCTATCCGTTCCTGC